GATCATGGATTACAAAAAAATCGATCAAGTATTACAAAAAAATCTATCATGGATTACCAAAAAAAAAAAAATTCCGTACGGGACTCGCCAATTTACTGTACGGAATCGCCGATTCCGTACAGTGAATCGGCGAGTCACTGTACAGAATCGTCCGGTTCTCTCTAGAACCAGACGATTCTCGTTTTTTTCGCCTATTTGATCCGTCCATGGTGATTCCCGAGTCGAACCGGGCGAGTCCGGTTCGACTCGATGTTTTTTTAAACACTTCTTTGACCAATGGAAGCTTTGTCATGCTTTCTATATCAAAAATTGATAGGTACTTGGTATCCCCCCGAGTGGTAAGAATTTTTCCATTGGCCCCTGTGAGAGCTCTCCCTAGACTCTCTTCTGATCACACTCCGATTTTGTTAACCTCTAAGGGTTGCTCTAGTGGTATTAGACCTTTTCAGTTTGAAATTGCTTGTTTAAATAAGAAAGAGGTCTCAAAAATTATAAAAAGTACGTGGGAGAACTCAATCACCACTGGATCACTTGATTATCAACTCCATAAGAAACTTGTAAATATTAAACATACACTCTTGAAATGGAAAAAGGAAAAGTATTCTTCCGTGAAATGCAATATTGATGTGCTTCTACTCTCTATTAAGGACCTGGACTTTGTGATGCATCAAAATGGTGAATGGTCTGAGGAGTTGGCGGTGGAGAGAAGTGAAAAACTTAATGAGTTACAGGAGCTTAGGAGGTTGGAAGACGTATACTGAAGACAAAGGTTGAGGGTTGAAGTGGCTAAAGGAAGAAGATTTGAACACAAAATATTTTCATTCTATTGTCAATGCAAGGAGAAGCCAAAACGATATTTCTGGTTTGTCTGTGAATAGGGTTGATCAAGAGGATAGTGAGGGTATATCCCAAGCTGTTGTTGATCACTTTCAGCGGGCATTCTCTTCGAAGGTCTCTCACTCACCCAGGCTCAGCAAGGTGGGTTTTAGAGTTATCCCACTTTACTTTATTTCGGTTTTAGATAGGGAGGTACCGATGGAGGAATTAAAAAAGACGGTTTTTGCCTTACCTGGTGATAAGGCACCTGGGCCAAATGGTTTCCCTCTTCTTCTTTTTTCATAAGTTCTAGGGTCTTATTAGTTCAGAGCTTTTAAAAATGATAAGGGGGTTTTGAGGAGAGGGGAGTTGTTCAATGGTGTGAATTCTACGTTTATTGCTCTAATACCAAAGAAATCAGTGATCGCTACTTTGGGAGATATTAGACCTATTAGCCTGCTCACGAGCCTTTACAAAATAGTGGCTAAGGTTCTAGCTGAGAGACTT